GTCTCCCAATGTCTTTTTTTACCTTGTAATCTTTTACCTTTTACCTTATAATCTGGTGCCTATATAATCTTTGGTCTCTTGGATCCCAGATTCTTGCAACTACTACTTGTTCATAGAAACCTGAACATTTTCCTAACTTGATGGAATTAATTATAATCTCTTCTTCTTCTTCTTCTTCTTCTTATATTCTTCTACTTCTTCTTTTACTTTCTTCTTGATTTACATGTATTGCAAATGCATGTATTGCAAAATAACTGTAGCCGTAATGGATTTTTGTGTTTCCACGTTTTTCCATAGTATTTTTCATGCGTATGGAATCTCTTCAAGCACAATATCTCTTCTCATTTTTATTACTTGTTTTTTTTTTTTTTGCCGTGTACGTATCATACGGAGAAGAGCGTCTCTAAGTCAGTATGATAACGACCATTTCCCTTTCCTGTTAATATGAGCATTGTTTACACGTATTTTAAAAATCACGTACGTTTGCCTTTTATTGTACTGAAAGTTTCTTCACACCTGTTTCTGTTTTGCCGACATCGTTACGATTCGAAACGGTCGAAATTACAGAGAGAAATGCGAACGATCGTCGCGAATGTTTCTTTGCAATAGCATGCTTCTGCAATTCGCAGCTTTTTCATTCTAAAAAAAAAAAACGATGGAATCAATTTCCTTGATGCAATCATTTTCGAATGTTGACATATATGTGCCTTTTATTATCTTTCTGATGAAGAAAGTTTCTTACGTATTCTTCTGCAGCATGTATCGTTGCGTTGACCAATTTCTAACCTCTGGTCACTTGCTTGGTTTGATCTCTGCCGTGCCTGCGTTCATTTCCCCCCCCCCTTTTTTTTCTTTTTCCTCGTTCTTGCTTGTTTGCCTTTGTTTGCTGCTTCACGTTTTCGGATTTCTAGAGCGATTTTGGCTTCGATTTTTTCCCTTCTTGGACTAATGACAGAAAAAAAGACGCATGACAGAGAGATATAATCGCATATGTAATCTGCCTTTCTGTGCCTTGTGTCTTTCTCTTTCTCTGTATGAGTTGCCAAAGTAGTTCTCTGCGGTGTTGTTCTCATCTTTGAAACACCCAAGTATCCCCACTTTGTGATTGCCATTTTTCTGGTGATGGAATGCATATCGAATTGATATAACATGTGCACCTTGTTACGATTATTATGTTTTGTGTGTGTATATATATATATGTATATGTATGTATGCG